GACTTAATGATAAATATGATTTTATTTAGCTAGACAGTAGCTTCTTGAGAGATAGCATCTCCCCAGGTTGCCTCGGGGCGAGCGGTTTCACCCCAGGGTTGGCACCTCTAAGGGACTTGAGGATATATTCAATAAGGTCCACGGAAGGCAGCTGAGAGGAGCCCAGCCACTGCTTTTTGCCTTGAAATCACTGCCCAGTGCTTTGTGGTTTTGGTTGAAAACCAGCTGAAAACTGTGAACACCCCTATCCCCCTTCTGCAGCTTGAGTTTTCCCTTCTCCCCATCTTTGTCTCTTCTGTAAATAAAAATGAGCTTTATTGATTTTATTTCAGTAACAGAGAAATAATTTGCCTTTGGCCCGAGCTCGCAGGATGCTAAACTCCTGCCAGGAGTGTGGTTTTGGGTTTTTTTTTCCTCCTTTTATAGCGTTTCTGATCTGTGTTTATGATGCCAACGCTGACACATCCTAAACTACAGCGTGGCTATAACCCCTGGAAAAAACTCCCGGCGGGATTGAAATAGTGGCTGGCAAATGTTCCCTCCTCACTGGAGCTTGTGAATCAAAAACCATCAGCGGTTTAAGCAAAGGCTTGTACCGGGGAGGGAGAACTTATGCCGGAGTCGATGCATATTTTATCACCGCGCTCATTCACTCGCAGCCCTTCTCCCTTCGAACGCTGCGCGGGTTTTAATTAAACAGTCATTGGCAAGGCTGTTATTCTGGCTTGGAAGGCCTCCAAATAGCCGTGTTTTTCCCCCAAAATGATCACAAGGGGATGTGCTCCCTTCCCCCCTATCCTCGCCAAGATTTGTCTTCTGCAAATACCGCTAATTATGTTTGTCTGGCCGGACGCCGGCTCTGCGATAGCATCTTTCATTAGCACTGACCTCTCCACGCTCGCAAGGAGCTGGCTGACGTTCCTGGAGTGGTGCCTTGTGGGTGCCACCAAGAAATGTCCCTTCGGCACCAGGCAAGCAGGTCTGGGTCTTGCAAGTGATGGGGTTGTGTTGAGCCCTGGTTCGTTAGCGTCTGCTTGTAAATGAAGTTGTGCAGCTCCCTGTCTACACATCTGGGTTGCTCCTGGTTGCAAACCAGAGCAGAGAAAGGCTGAGGGTGGTGTCTCCAGGATCTGCTCTACCAAGGGATTGCTGGTGGCCATGCGTGGGTGGTCAGCTTGGATTAGGTGCAGGAGGAGTGAAGAAACGAGTTGGAGAGGACAGGACATGTCTTCTCAGCTTTAAACATCTCGTGGAGGCTCTCCTGATGGCTGTGCAACCCATAGCAGCATAGATGTTGCTGCAGGGAACTCTGCAGAGGGTCTAGGAGAAACCACGGCAGGGGCTGAGAGGTGTCACCTCCCTTACCGGCACCGAGAGATGCGGTGATGGGTCTTCCCTTTTCCCTGGCTTTAAATTCCCATCTGGCTCCTCAACCACCGACACGAGTTTGCTCTCGCTTGTCAGGAACAAGGTACTTGATTTGTCAGTTCGCTGCGCTTAATATTTCTTTCATGTATTGCAGCGGTTTGAAATGCAAAACATGTCTGGATAAGCTCACTTTTTCGCTTTTTGGTGTTTTTTTTTTCCATCCTACTGTAGCCGGCACATTGAAGGTAGCCGTGTTTAACTAATAAAAAAAGATTTTAAAATGCTGGTTTTGCACTTCTTTAATTGACTTCCAATTTCCATTCGCATGCAGCCTGGCACATTGCGAAGGAAAAAAGAGCGCCGAGCAAATAAGAAATGCGTCACTCCCTGTTTTTTTTATCATAATCAAAAACGTAAAAATTAAGAATCTGAATAAACGTACATTAAACTATGTAATTGCCTAAATAAACGTGGCGGGGGTAGATAATGGGTCTTCCTGATTAGAAGAAAATACCATATTTAGTGCAAAGGTTATATCTGGCTGCGAAGCAGTGCGGTTTAGCAGTCGCACCCTTCTTCTGGGAGATGAACCAGGCAGAGCAGCTCAGAGGGCAGGGTCCAAGCGTTGGTGATGGAGGAGCTCCCTGATGGAGAGCACCCTCGGTGGTACCCTTCAGGGAATTACAGGAGGGGAAGCATTGCTAGTGGGTGGTGGAAATTGGTTTTCCCAGCTCTCATGAGCCCTGTGGTGGTTGTGTTTTTCTCTTTTGGCACCCAGTTCTGGTGGTCCCCAACACAGCGAGGGTCCTGGTTTGCAGCGACCGTTCTTGCAGCCAGGGAAAAAGCTCCCAAGAGCAGGACACTCCAGGCAAACCCCCAACCTGGATGGGTTTATTGCAACCTCTAAGTATTTATCGTTACTTGAACTTGCTCGGGGTGGTTTGTAGCTCCATGGGGCACGCTGTGGAGTTTTATTACAATGCATTGCCTGCTTCCCAGTCCTTTCCTGTAAATCGTGGCAGCTTTGCCGACTCAATCGGCAACAAAAAATAATATCCTGATGCCTCAAGCTGCACTGAAACTGCTCAGTGGTCTTACAGTTACCCCAAGAGCTGCGAGCCCATGGTTTGAAGCCACTGCCCATCAGCAGAGACACAGAGGTGGGTTCTGGCGCTGCTGGAAATCAATGACCAGGAGCTGGTGGTGGTGGCAGGAGTCAGTTGGTGACGCTGCCGTTGCCACCGCCTCCATCAGCCCTCCGAAGGCTCCTCCCCTGCCCCGGTATTTGGGAGCTACAAAAAAAAAAATCATCCAGGTCTGAGTATCAGTTTGCATTTGTCCTTTCCTTTTTGCTTTCCTTTAACCACAGCCAAAAGTCATTTCACCGCCAACCACGGGACCGCTGAATGCTTTTTGCTCCAAACCTGGTTGTCCTTCCCTGCAGAACAAACAGTGCTCCGGCACGGGATGTCCCCAGAGCTTTTAATCTCCCAAATGCCTCCCCAGGCGAATTGTGTTAATATTGGAGAGTGCAGGAGCGGGGGGAGAGCTGCCCGCCCGCGGTTGTTGCTGTTCAGCGCTCACCGTCGCGCTGGGGGATGAGGAAAAGCTGCTGGGTTTTGGGACTGCAGCCTGGTAGGAAGGAGTTAAGGGAAAGGTGAAATGCTAAGCAGAAGCAAAGAGGCACCGTGAGAAGGGCAGGATCCCAGGAAAGCTTTTCTGGGGATGAAAAAAAAGGCTGTTACCTGGAAGGGCTCCAGCTGCCCAGTTCCCATCCAGCCTGCGCGTCCTCTGCTCCCCAGCACCCAGCCTGCGGTGGCAGGGGTGCCAAAGGGCACGAAGCCGGGATGCTGACGGGGACAAGAGGCTTTTGCAGGTTGCAAAGGGGCTGGGTTGCTCGAGTGAAGCAGCCAGTACCTGGGTTTTGCCAGGGGAGAAGTAGAGATGTGTTGCAGCGTGTGTGAGACCATCTTGTTGAGCTTGCTGCTCTGAACACTGGATGTGCAGGTAGCTAAATAGCAAAGAGTTAAATAATAATGATAATAATAAGGAGGTTTTTTTACTCATAAGTTTTACCAGCTCAGGCATCCCAGCAGAGTGAGATGCTGGGATGCAGGAGGCTGCAGCCCCGGCACATGGTCAGTGGTGTTGTCCTCTTAGGGTAGGAAGCGGTGGCCCCGGGGCAGATGAAAGAGTCTGGACTGTTGCAGCTTTTATCACAGGGAGAGGGTGCATCACCCACCCTCCTTGAGCAGAAGCAACGTGCTATGGCTAATGAGCAAGCCTTAGAGGCTGGGTTAATTAATGCAGGCTCCCAAGGTCTCCTAATGTGGGTGTATGGCACTGATCTTCATAGGAAGCCCTTGAAGGCAGAAAAGTGAGGCCTCCGGGCAGTGACCAAGAGAAGTAATAAATACTTCTGGGAGCACTTTGAGGGAACGTTAACCTAAGCTCTCCTAAACCACCATGAGCAGCAAGGCGTAAATGTTGATACCATGGGCTGCTCCAGCACCAGCTCTTATCTCACAGCACTTCAAGGGCATCCATGACTCTGTGCTCATGACCTGCTGCCACCAAGGAGGCAGGTACAGGAGGGTTTTGTCCGTCTAGGAGCTGTTTTGTCCGTCTGGGGCTTTCAGATGACAGATGACAAGCTGTTTTGCTAATGGCTGGGGTGGAAGAAAATGCAATTACCCAAAGTAGGCTTTTGGCAGGACACAGAGGTGGCAGAGTGAGGTCGGTGAAACTCGGGTAAAAGAGGATGAAAAACTGGCTGCTCACATCCAGGACACTGGTTTGCTTTTGGTTGCCTCCTCGGAGACATTGTTTGTGCAGTAATTAGCGATGTAAAACATGCATCGGCCTCTTTGTTCCCATTAGGCTTGGCTACGGCTTGGAATGATGTGCAACAGTAGCCCGTGGTTAATTTTACCAAATGTTCACTTTAATTTCATTTAACACCAGCTGTCTTTAAATCTATAGTGCCTATTTACATTGCCTGCATATAAATATACGTATAATTCTGTGCTGAGGAGGAGGTAACAGATAATGGGGCACTGGTAGGAGCAGTGCACCCTCTGGCCCCCAGCCTCCAACCCTGGGGTGGGGTGTGTGGTCAAGCCCAATGGCTCAATGCTGGCTCGATGCCAATGGGGCTGACCTTTGGGTGACACCTCCTTAGGGATCAAACCTCCCTGCTGTGTTCCTCCACCCTAAACCCCCCCATGTGTTGCGTGCCTGGGTCAATATTAAACAACCGGTGTGTAAAGCAGCTACTCATTGGGCAGTGCACAGCTGGGAGCCTGCAGTGAACCATGGTTTATTTGCATCCGAGCAAGTACGCCTATGTTTAAATACCTCTAAGCAAACGAGTCCACCCAGCTCCTGCTTTGCTCTTCCTTGTATCTTCAACGCTAGGTTTACCAGCAGTATCCAAGGGCAGTTTGTCTCCTTCCTTACTTACAGGGACTGGGAGGATGTCTGTGTTAAGGTAGTTATGGGTGACACTGCCCTGGTAGCCTTGGTCCCATGGTATGTGGCCAGAGTAGGCCGGTGGTTTCTTCTACCAGCTTTCACCATCATGTCACATCTGAGCCACCACCACTGTTGCATGAGATCCCAGTATGGGTCATTCAAACCTGTGTTTGTGCTGTTGCTCCCTCCGGCAGCACCAGGACAGCTGGGAGGAGGCTGCCGTGGGGTGATGGGAAGGGCTGCAGCTCCTTGGTCCCGAAGCGTGGTGAGATGTGGTCGGCCAAGAAGCGTATGTGGAAGTGCCGGCCAACACAGTGCACCAGGCTGCGCACCACAGCACACTGGAAGCCAGATGGGTCGGGCATGGCGTAGGCAGCACACTCATACCATAGCTTGGCCTTGGCTCCACAGCGGTAGACGCTGATGCCCGTGCTGCGGTGGAGGTCAAAGCGGTAGATGAAGCCATTGGTGCTCACCATCTCAGCTGTCCTGTCCTTGCCGCCGCTGACTGGGCTGATGCTCCAGCTGTCTGTGCGGGCAGTGTAGCGCAGAAGCATGTAGCGCAAGGTGCCTCCTGTCACGTAGATCTCCCCATCGCACACCGTGGCTGTGTGGGCCACGGCAAAGGTGTCATGGGGCAGGGGAGCAGTGAAGGTCCAGCGGTCCTGCCGGGGGTCATAACGCTCCACTGTGTAGAGGCACTCACCGCCGATGGCGTAGAGGTGGCCATCCAAGGCCACAAGCTTGCAGCGGGGCCGTGCTTGGTTCAGGGGACAGATCTCTCTCCAGATGTTGGTCAGGGGGTCATAGCAGAAGACACGGTTGGAGGGTCTCTGCGCCTGGCCAATGCCCTCGCAGCCAGCCACCACGAAGAGGTAGTTGAACATGCTGCACATGGCACACCCCCGGGAGACCACCTCCGGTGGCACGTGGCAAAGGTGACGCCAGCAGTCCCCTCCATCATCATAGTAGCAGAGGCGGCTCGTGTGGAGGCCGGGCTCCTGCACGTTGATGTCCGCCACAGCCACATACATCTTCCCTTTCATCCTCTGCCGCAGGATGACCTCTCGCTCGCCGGCATTGAGACAGCCGTAGATGGAGGGTGTCCTCAGCACCTGCAGATAGTTGTTGCTCATCACCTTGTAGGCGGCATCCTGGAGTTGGCCCAGCTTCTGTGCCTTGGCTGTGCAGAGGACCTCGTAGCAGTTCCCCAGGTTCAGGTGGGTGGGTGTTGGCATCTGGAAGAGCTCAGTGCTGGCCACCAGCTCCGGCTGGGGGCTTGCTGGCGGTGTGCTGGCTGGTGCTGTGATCCCAAACCCCTCAATGGGCACCTGGAGGTGGGGGCTGTCAGTAATCTGGAGGATGCTATCCTTGCGGCCAGGAGGTGGTGGTTCAGGGGAGATGTCCAAGCTCCCAGTAGGTGGTGGAACTATGGATGGGGTGGTGGGATCTCGCTTTGCTGAAGCTGAGTCCAGTTTCTGGGTTGCAAAGCTCTGCAGCTCTTCATTGACCCGCTCTGAGCTGCGGCGCCGGGATGTTTCTGGAGGGATGTAGGGGAGAGACCTCCTCTTCAACACCGACTGGGAGATGGACTGGACATAGTAGTCATAGACTTTGCCTTTGAGGCCAGGGACAAGCTGCCCAGTCCCATCCTTTGCCCGTCGCTCGGCAATGTAGTTCTCCTCCACCTGGATCTTTGCGACCGAGGAGAAAGAGTAGGAAGTGTCCGACCCCATGCTGCTTGCCGTCATCGTTAGTCCCAGGTCCGAGGTGATGCTGAGTGTCTGGATTATTCCCCTGCGCCCCTCGGCCTCCTGGCTCGTGCCTCTGATGGCCAAATCCTGCTCCGTGTTTTGGGCGCGTCCATCACCTGCCGTCCGGGCATTAGCAACCCCAGGGGAAAGCCCGGTGCTCGGGGCAAGCGTGCCCTGCTCCCTGTGGCTGGTCAGCGTTTCGGCTGCGTCCCCAGGGTCGTAAGAGCTCAGCTCACTTCCTGGCTCGCTTCCCGCCTTGCTTGTCAGCCTGCTTCCCAGCTCGCTTCCCGTCTCAATTCCTGGCTTGCTTCCTAGCTCACTTCCCGGATCGTTTCCCGGCTCGCTTCCCAGCTCACTTCCTGGCTCATTTCCCAACTCGCTTCCCGGCTCGCTTCCTGACTTGCTTCCTGGATCACTTTCCAGCTCGATTCCTGGCTTGCTTCCCAACGTATTTCCCATCTTATTTCTCAGCTCGCTTCCCCTCCCGGCCACCCCTGCTCTCCCACGAATCAGCCCCAGTTCAGAAACCATCTCGTCTCCTTCCTCTTCCTCCTCCTCAGCCCTTGGCACCCCATCCTCCTGAGGAGGTGTCCACTCTGTCCCAGGGATGCTCGCTTGGCTGGTCGTTTGTCCACCCCCACCATCCCTCCTTACCTCCTCGCCAAACACCCTCCTGTGCCGCAGACCCGTCGCACCGTCCCCATCCCGGGCAGCGTTTTCCCTCGGCTCTCCTCCCACGTCAGCCGGCGGGATTTTGTCCCCAGCAAGCGAGCGGGACTTATAAAACCTGTACACCAAAGTCAGGAGGAGCAGAGCGGCGGCGGAGAGGACCAGCTTGCCGGCCAGCTGCATGTCGGACTGCCAGGGCAGGGTTACCTGTTGGGGCATTTTTCCATGCCAGGAATGCAGAGAAGCCGATTAATGATTGCCGAGCGAGCCCAGAGCACGGAGCTGAAGGTTTGGGGCAAGGTGACTTTGAGCGGGCAAAGCTGGCAGGAGGTTTCCGGAGAAGCTTTGCATGTTTGGAATGGGCTGGGCTCCGGGGAAAAGGTGCAGCCCGGAGCTGGCGGCACAGAGCCCGCTTTATTAGCCTGGTAAACAGAGGCGCTCAGAGAAAAGCAAAAGGAAGAACAAAGGGAGGAAAAGTATCTCCTCCGAGCAGCTTGATGGTGCTGACTCCTTGTTTCTTTTGCTGTTTAAAGGCGAGCGTGCAATGGAAGGGGAAAATCAGTTGTTTTGTGCAGGAAAGTTCCCTCGTCCCTGGGTGCAAGCGCGGGGAAGGGAGGGAGAAGCAGCCCGGTGCTGGGCAGACCTTTGGTCGGACGCCGAGCAGCTGCTCCGTGGCAGACGTGGGTGACTAATTCAGTGGCCTTCGTTTGCGGCATGTAAGCTAACGAAGGGTGACAGGAAACACCCCGAAAGCTTCTGGGGTCTCTTTGAGGCCAGCTTGGAAGTGGTAGGGGGATTAACAGCTGGTGGGAAAGGAATTCAGGGCTTTGGGAGGGGGAAAAGTCCAGCACCAAAGAGTAAACAAAGACAGGGGTGAAACTGTAGCCGGTGGCTGCCGTGCTGAGAGACCTGCATCCATGTGGACGGGGAGAGGGATGAGCAAGGGAAAGGGAGAAAAAACATTGAGACCAAGAAGAAATTTGGGATGGGAAGGGAAAGCAGACACGTGAGTCGTCATTTCAAAGTGATATGCTGCTGTGTGTGGGATGTCTGTGGGGACTAGAGTTGCTGTGGGGAAACTGAGGCACGGGGGATGCCAGACAGTGTCAAACTTGCTTCTTTCTCCCCCTGGAACTATGTCAGTGATGTGTCTGGTCCTGATCTGAATTTCAAAGATTTAGGGGAATTGTCATCCCCATCATCCCCGAGGCAGCCGGGTCCCCATGCCTGGACCGTGATGGTGGGGCGAGGAGGGTGCCTGGGGAATCGCATCCCTCCACAACCGCTGCTAAGTGAGCTGAATTCAAAGGGGTAAAATTAATTTCCTTTTCCCTGAGGGAACATATCACATGCTGAGAGATGCATAAAGAAATGAGGCCCCACGAGGCGGCAAAGAAACAGCCAGAATGCGGGTGGAGGTAGGCGGCTGCTCCTGTTTGTATGCAGGGACTCGCTCCCCAGTAGCTTGCTCCTGATCCGGGATTTGCTGGAGAAATGAGCCCAGGTGGTGCTAAAACAACCCCTTGTATGAGGTCTGGGTGCGATGGGTCCCAGCTGCATGGGTCATGGGTACGTGTGGCAGGAGGAGGTCTTACCACGGGTCCTTAATGGGTGGTGGGTGCTCGTGAGCTCATACCTGGTGTCCACAGCCTCCCAACTCACCTCCTGTGCAGTAGCTGATCTTCACCAGCCGCTGCGTGAGCTCAGGCACTGCCTTTTGCGATGGGAAGGAGCATCTGAACCTCCTTGGGGCATGTTCCCCGCCATCACCAGCATCTGCAAGTGCTAAGATGCTGAATTTCACCTGACAGCTTTGCATAGGGACCGTGGTGGTGCTGAAGGGGTTGGAGATGGTTGTATATCTGCCACTGGACTTGCCATGGGTGCTCGCTAGGTGGAGGACTGCATGTTAAATAGTGTAATATTTGTATATATATATACAGAAAGAGGATGGAAAAGCAGCAGAGGGGTAAAGTCCCCATGCTGGCTTGGCAGTTGGGGACCCCTGTGCACATCCCTACTGTGACAGGGAGAGCCCACCAGCAGCTTTTAGGGGGATGTTCGGGAAGTTGCCATCTTGTATGGGTGCAGCGTGGGGAAACGCAGCAGTAAAGAGGCTGGGGGAATAAGGGTATTTAGGTTAAGGGCTGGACTGATGCACCCTGCTAGACTGAATCTTGAGCTTGGGCCAGGGACCAAAACCCCACAAGCCAAAACCCACCCAGATGCTCCCCTCCATCCTATTTGGCATGGGCACCCAAAATCTATCGCTGGGGAGCTTGGTCTGGCCAAAACCTCAGGGAAGGTGTTTCCCTCCTGCCTGCAAACGCGGAGGGTCCCAAAGCCGAGGCTGGAGTTCAGGTAACGGGGGTGTGCATCAGGGCTGGGCATGTGTTTCAGGGCTCAGCTAATTGGCAGAGGGTCTGGACATCTCTCAAAGCTGCAGTTTTTAATCGGCAGGTAGATCTGCAAAGATCCTTGCATTTGTGAGCTGGGAAATATGAATTATGCATGCGCTCGGTGGCCCTGTGAACCCGGCCACGGCAGTAACTGCCTGGTAATGAGGTGGGGGAGGCAGGGGAAGCACCGAGCAAGCCCACCATCGCTTCTGCTGGCATTCCCAGCCCTGTCGAGCCGGAGCATCCCTGGTTTTGTGCCCTCCCCACCCCTCCCAATATCCCAAAGGGCTGGGGGTTTGGATGTGTTGCACCCTTAAGAGATGCAGGGTTGGGCTGCCAAAACCCTGCCTCCGGGTGCATGCCAGGATGAGCACTGTTGTCCTCATTATTGGTGGATTTTTATGAACCTTGGGAGGGCAAAACAGGGTGCACAGGAGGAGGTGGGGACGTTTTCGGCAGGCAGCGTGGTCTGGTTGCTGCTGCCTTCGCAAATGGCAGGAGGAGGGGATCAGAGCCTGACTGCTGAGCTTGAGCTGCAGGGGATGATGTCAGGCAGGAGGATCCCCATGCCAAAATGCAGGTCCGACGTAGAAGTGTGTATTTATGTCTGCCTTGAGGTAAGGAGGACGAGCAGCAGCGTAGGGGAGCAGGGGATGCGGCCGTGGTGTCTCCGAGCAGCGGTGACGTCTCGGCACTTGTGACTCTAATTGAATGTAATTGCCTCTTCCAAATTTTGCTAAAACCTTTTCAAAGTCCCCTGAAATTAGGGAACATCGATAACGCCGTTCCTTGGGGTTTTCAGCTCGCGTCATCCCTAAGAAGCACGATTAATTTTTTACAAGCTAATCATATCTCTTAAGCAGGTTGTCAGCCACGGATCTGTCATCTCTCATCAATAATGAAACAACCTGAGCAGCTCTTTCCCCCTCCAGCCTCCTCCATTATTCACTGCCACGTCCTCAAACAACGGGGTGTGTGGTAGGGGGGAGCCAGGGATTTAATTGATTGTCCTTTGGGAAGGTGGTGGTTGAGGCAGGGCTGGTAGGTGGTGGGTGAAGGATCAGAGGGGGCAGGAGGTGAAGGCAAGGTCCAGCACGGCATGGATGGTTTTCTTTGGATTGCTGCTTTGGTGGGATGGCACATCCTTGTGTCCCTCGCTTTTGGGGCTTGGGGGGACTTTGGGAAACCAGGCAGCATCTTTACCCAAAATGAGGAGAGGCTCCTGTGTCCTCTTGGTCATTGCTTTGGCTGTGGTGGTGCTGAGAAGGTCCCAGCCTACAGCCTGAGCCACCACCATAGGAAAGAGCGAAGCATCCTGAATGCACACAGAGGGGGGGATTTGGGATGTGGGACCTCTGAGCTCACCGGTCCTCTGCCAGCCGCTACATGGGGAGGTCACGTCGCTTCCGAGAGGACACCAAGCAGAGCCGGATGATGGTGGCACTGCCACTGTAACACTCCTCATTTCCATGGTTCCGGGCTAAAATTGCCACATTTGCATTTAAATGGAGGTTTGGGTGTCTGTAAATTCTCTTTTTTTTTTTTTTTGAAGCGAGAAGGCCGAATGGTGGTTTAATCGCGTTGGGATGAGGCCCCTGGAGCATCCCTAATCCAGTGAGAAGAGCGAGAAGCATCCGTGCTGTGGTGGGGGGGCTCTCCTGCCTGCTCGGTAGCGTGGGGGTGAACAGAGTCATGCAGATTTTCCTAAAAAGTAAAGGTTCCCCTAAAAAACAAAGGGTCTTCTAAAAAATAAAGATTCCCTTCTCACCCTGGGAGGTGCAATGGGCTGGAGCAAGGACCGCGGTTGGGGATGGAGCAGGGTTTCAGGCAGCTGGTCCGAAGGGATCCGGATGCTTGGATGCTGTTGCTTTGGGATGAAAGTGGAGCCACTGATCCTCCCACATCCCAGTCAGCCCCAGTCTGTCCCCGCATTGCTTCCAGACCAACTTATAGAACCGTGTGCTTTTGCGGACGGGAAGAAACTCCTGAGCCGCCGCGTGTGTGTTTGGCTCCTTTGAGGCTGGGAAATCACTCACCGCGAGGTTGGCAATGGAGCATGGTAGGGACTGAATCTGCTTAATAATAATTAATCATAATAGTAATAATAACGCTTAGCGCTCGTATGAGGCTTTGGAAAGATGAAGCGCCACACGGCTGCTGGCTAATCCTCTAGGATTAAGGGTTCCTGGAGGAAAAGGCAAGGGAGTGCCCCATCCTTGGGCTCCTCTTCCCCTGCATCCGCTCCCCAGGGATGCTGGCTGGATGCTCTTGGGGGACCGCAGGGAGGGAAAGCAGCTGGGAAAAACCGCTGGCCTCCCTCAGCATCTGGCAGGATTGGGCCAAAACCACCTGGTTTTTGCAAAAGCTATCATACGGCAGGATTAATGCCGTACTGGGATGTGCCCAGCAGCATGGGGGTACCGCAGGAATGGCCAGGATCTGACTGTGCCGGACCATTACCTGTTTCCACAGTGACAATTAGCCAAGAGGGATGAGGAGGGACCAAACGCGGGTGCAGCGCTTTAAACTCGGCTGGTGATTCCGTGCCGGCGCTGCCCGACGGGACGCGTGCTGCCCGCTCATGTGTGAGCGCTGACATTTTGGGTTGGGAGCTGCCTGTCACTAGAGATTGACCGTCCAGCCCGGGACAAGTGTTGTGCACGGAGCCCGTCTTCCAGCAAAGGCGATTTGCCCCGATCAGGGTCCTGGGGTATAAGGTCAGTGATCCGCAGCGTTCTGGCTCCCAGCACCACCGTTCACATGTAGGACTTGTCCCCAGCGTCCTTCACGCTGGGGACACATGCGGTCCCTACCCCAGGG